AATATTTGAGGAAAGGTCAGGTCAAGGTCATTTTTTTTTCAAAGTCGTTAATAGACATGAAGAATAAAAAATTTTTGTTTCAAAGTGCGTTAACCTGGCAAAAATCCCTACTTGTAATTTTTAAAAGATTGAATTTTTTCAAAGTGCGTTGTCACACACGTGTATTCTTTGTGACAAGATTTTCTTTGAATATAAATAGATACTACAATATGAAAATACTTTAATGTTGATATCACTTTCAAATTGAAAAAAATTAATTTAAATAAAATGGATATTTGCTAATCCGAATTTCCGTCTGTGTGTCTTTTCTTCGCAAAAATTTTTAGGATTTATTAGTGATTTTTATATGCTTCCTATATTTAACTTTCCAATTTCCACATATAGTAAAGTTGTCACTTTTAAAGAAATTTCAAACTTTTACTTTGGCCAAAAACTAAAAGTTTTGATCTTCATATAAGAGAGAAATAACACTTTTTACGGATTTTTTTCTCAAATTTGTACATAAATTTGAAGCATTTAAAAGCCAACATAGTTCTAGTATGTGTAAAAAATCTTATTTATTTGATATACTTTGAAACTTTAGTCCCTTATTATTAATTTAACTTACATTTGAAAATTTCATCTAGTCTTTGATTGAGTCAAAATTATAACTAAATTTAATGTTCTATAATAATTTTGAGAGGCAGAAAATCCGAAGATAAATTTTCAACCTACTGGTGCCACCGGTTATCGCCAAAATATAGTCCCGTGTTGCGTTTGTCAAACGCAGTTTACCATTTTTGTTTTTAAAAGTTGTATAATTGTGATGAGGAAGAGAAAAACTATTGTCTTTTAAATCTCTTAATCTAAATATATAAGACATATCAACAAATGTACTTTGAATATTCCATGTAATTTAAAAGAAACGTTTTGCATAAATAGATACTACAATATACCTATAAGGTATGAAATTGACAGCATAATTCAACATTGTTATCAAATCTTAAATTATGAGTTTGATAGGATTTTTATTGTTTCTATAAATCCAATATCACATGAAAATAAAGTTGTCACATTTACAAGAAATCATGAAAAACACTATTTTCATAAACATGATTATTCAAGGGAAATAAATAAATTCAACAATTGGGTTTTAAAACCCCATGTTGTCCTTTAAAAAATCTTATTTATTTGATATACAATTATAAACAAGGTCCCTTGTTTAATTTAACTTACATTTGAAAAATTTCTTTGATGAGTAAAATTATAATAAATTTAATGTTCTATAATAATTTTGAGAGGCAGAAAAGAAGATAAACTCAGGTGACCTATTCCGCCAAAAATATAGTCCCTGCTCGTTTTCAAACGCAGTTTACCATTTCTATTTAAAGTTGTATAATTGTGATGAGGAAAGAAAACTATTGTCTTTTAAATCTCTTACATCTAAATATATAAGACATATCAACAAATGTACTTTGAATATTCCATCTAGTCAGAAACCAGAGAAGAATCCTACCTTAAGGTATGAAATTGCAGCATCAACATTGTTATCAAATCTTAAATATGAGTTTGATAGGAGGTGTTTCTATAAATCCATAATATCAATGAAAATCGATTTAAAAAATCATGAAAAACACTATTTTCATAAACATGATTATTCAAGGGAAATAAATAAATTCAACAATTGGGTTTTAAAACCCCATGTTGTCCTTTAAATAGATCACAGGTAACCAATTATAAACAAGGTAGTTGTTTCATATACTTTTTCAAAATTTCTTTGATGAGTAAAACAATGTGCGTTTCTTTTTTTAGGTCACCTGAGTAAACTCAGGTGACCTATTGCTATCTGTTTTCGTCCGGCGTCGTTCGTCGTGCGTCGTGCGTTAACATTTGAACATTTTCAGCTTCTTCTCTGCAACCACTGAACCAATTTCAACCAAATTTGGCACAAAGCATCTATGGGTGAAGGGGAACAAAAATTGTGAATTTCATGATCCCTGCCCTGCTCTATTGATTATATAATGAAAATACATGAATTCTTTGAAAATCTTCTTCTCTGCTCCTGGGTATTAAATAAAATAACTAAGTACATAGTTATGATAAGCAAGAGTGCCTCTACCAAAATTGTGAATTTTATGGCCCCAGGGTCAGGAGTTCTTGTTTTAGGGTGGGGCTCTAATGATTATATAGTGAAATGCATGAATTCTTTGAACATCTTATCCTTTCTCCTGGTTAATATGCTAATGATCTAATTACATATTTAAGGCCAGGATTTATTTTATTTTCAGTTTTACAAACCCTCCGCTCAAGGCTTTGAATTTTTAGAAAAAATAAAACAATTTTTTTTCTTTCCGATGTCAAATTTGAGTCGGGATCCAGATTTCAAATTTACGAACTCGCACTTCCGCTTTTACGATAAAACGGCGGGTAAATAAAACTAGATCTGAGAAGATAGCTTGGTTTAGTGTAAAATTCATCGATAAGAGTGCCATTCAAAACGTTTCACCCGTTCAAAGGACAAATAAAATGCTGACGACTTTGTTGCACAATGACATGCTGGTGAGATAATTATGTATTCGTTTCAAAAGTAACTGTAAATTATTTTCCTCCCCCAGGTTTTAAACTGCCCGTGGTAGCTATTGCATATTGCCAGGGACATTGTTTAGGTCTCTGTTATAGCTTACAGTCTAAGCATCATTCTTCAGAAAAGGGTTGCTTATGCATCAGATGTAATGAATAAAACTATGGGAGAAGTGAAGTCCATTTGAGGAAGAAATAAACAATAACCTGAAGAAATAAAAAAAAAATCAACTATTAAAAGGCAAGAATATACAAATATATACAGGCATGTAGTATCATTTGTATCAGCCAAAAAAAATATTTTACACTTAATTGAAAAAATGTTGACCCTACTCAGTACTCCCCAATATTCCCTGTCTGTTTTATGATAGGAATTATAATTTAAGGCATCAAGTAAATTTTAGAACTATATCTACACATTCACTTAACACATATTTAAAAAATGAAGATAACTTGAAAGACTTTTAAAGAATTGATTTTTTAAAATATATTTTGATCAACATCACAAAATTTATATAACTGGCCAAAACTGGCAGATGATGAAATAAGCAATTAAATGTTCTACTTTCCTATTTGTAAACATTATGTGTCCAGTGGTAAGGAGCCGATTAGGATAGCATAAAAAAAGAATGTACAAATGTTAATAATTGATTTATCAAAAAAAAAGATTTATTTCCTTCTCCTTCGGGACTTTTTTATTCTCATGTTCATAACTAAACCTAAACATAAAAAAATGCTGGCCTTATAATGAAGAAAGGGGCCTCTTTCAAAATAGATAATTTCAGGGCTGCTGGGTCAGGGGTACCAGGGGGGTTTTTTTACTAAAAAAATGCTTTGAAATCTGAAATATATAAGCAATGGTGCCTCTTTCAAAATTTGTGAATTTCATGGCTTTTGGCTTAAAACACGAACCAAATACAATCGCTGGAAAGTTGTTACATGATACTCAGGTGACCTATAAGGCCCGTGGGCCTCTTTTTTTTTTTTTTTTTTTTTTTTTTTTTTGTTTTGTTTTGTTGAGTATACAACTAAATGTGCAATGAAAATAAGTTCTTTAAGGATATTATTAAATATCTTAACGTCACCAGTAATGGCGTGTTTAACGGGACTACTGCGTATAGTTGTAATTAAAAAAAAAGAAAATCAACATATTGAAGAATTATCTTTCAAATGTTCGATATCTTTTTACTTTAGAGGTTTTTTTATGTAATCAAAAAGTTTGAAATGAAATATATGGAGATATAGAACAGTATTCAAACGAAGAAAGTTCATGCAAATAATACAAATTAGAAGCAGGACAAGCACGAATCTCTAAAACTCAGAGGTGAGATCGGATACCAGGAAGGAGCTAGCATCCCCTGCCGACCAGTTACATCCGCCATGTGTTCTTTGAAACGATCGGTAAATTTAAAAAACCAAAGCAAAAAAAAAAAAAAAAACTTCCATCAGCAATTAACTTAAGATTGTTTTTCCTTGTCATTTTATCGCCCATAGAACTTGGAATGTGATGACCACCAATAAACTGTTGATATCCTTGCCTTGTGTTATTTACTTCTTTGTCAGAAGCTTTACTCGTTTTAAGGATTTTTCGTATTTAAAGCATGGTTTTGCGCATCGAATCAACTGAGAGGTATAAACTCCATTTGTAGGTGGAGAGGGTACATTGCTACATAAGTTTGGGAAGTTGACTATTGAAAAGTTAAAAGTCCTTACGTTTGTTGGAAGTTGACTATCCTTACGTTTATTAAAAAGCTTGCTGTAAGACTACAATTAACTTTTTTCTAGTAAAATTTCCAATTATGGAACAGATATGTAAGATATTTTTTATTTCTAGCTCACTGACATTTGATTTGGAAGTATTTCCTTATAATAATGGATCCTTGAGTTTAAGTTTGATTACCCCGTATAGAATTACACCCCAGTACTCCTAAAATACAATAAAAATAATGAGCCTTTCAAACAATGACAATGTTGTCACCTGTTTTATCAACATCATCAAGATGACTTTACATTCCGTAAACAAAATTAGATGATCCCAGTATTCTTAAAATATAATAAAAATAATAAGCCTTTTAAACAAAGACAATGCCGTCACCTGTTTTATCAACATATCAAGATGACTTTACCTTCCTTTTTGAACATTCGCCGTAACGTTTGAACCATAAGAGATAGAGACTTTATATTTGGTATGCATACTCCACTTATTAAGCTCATTCAAATGACATCAAGGTCAATGGCCTTGTGACCTTGTCTGTGTCCTATATGCTAAAAATAGCTTCGAATTTAGTTGCCGTCGGGCGCATAGTTTCCAAACACCTCTTGTTCTTTTCAAAACGTTATGTTGTAATTAAGTTATCGATATCATTTCTTTCACAGCCTTTCTTTAACACACTCGAGAATTCTAGCTAGATACAAATGTTAAAAGAAATAAAATGTTTTAGTTGCAGTTATTCGTGGTGCTGAGATAAGATGTCGTAAGTATAAATAAAAATATTTTTACTTCTATTTTTATTTCCTTTACTTGACAATAATGAGTTTTGACCTAGATTTGATTATTTTTATGAGGGACCGACGTGATTTTGATATAATCTGATGATCAGTAAGATTTTGTATAAAGAGAACAAAGGAGTTATATCCATGATTCTCTTTATATTTGTTTAATTCACGGAATGAATGATGAATCTGATTTAGAATTATGCCCAGTTGTACAGTACGATGAGGAAGCAGTGATGTATACATTAGATTGTGGATGGTCTCGGAAAAGGATAAGTTTTCAATGCAGAGATGGGTATTCATACCAGTCAGGATCGTACCAGTCAGAATGTTCGTTTTCGTGGACATGGTGGAGATGGACAGGAACTTCAATGAAGTGCATCTGTAAGTTAAAGCAGTATGAAAGGGCTCACTGTAAATTCAATCCAAGTAGTTATTAGCATAAAGTATCTATGAATACATGTTTTTGTTTTTGTTTGTTTGTTTGGTTTTGGTTTTGGTTTTGTTTTGTTTTGGGTTTTTTTTTTCTTCTTTTTTTTTTGCCAGACCTTATGTTCACCATATGATTTAAATTCTCGAAAGGGACATGAAAGACAAACAAACAAAAACAGAATGTTAAATTTTCAATAGATAACAGCTTCAGCTATACAGTTCTTTAACGACGCAAACAATTATTATTCCAGTCTTTTCCCTACATAAATAGGTTATTTAGTAGTTTTTTAAGTTTTTTTTCCAACAAATTGTAAGTGTGCAAAATAAATATTAATTCGATATAAATCACAATTTCAAGTATTTTTTGTCTTACCCTGGGTTTTGATCGGTTAGTCGTAATTTTACATAAAAGTTTAATATTTGTGCTTTTGTTTCACAGTCACGAAGACGAGCACTACAACCACGACGACAACAACCATCTCTCTCACGGATGTTACAATTCCTACCGGGAGACCTACTACGATGGATTTATCTGTCCCCCAAACTGTTCAGTATCCCTCCTCCACTGTTAGAAGTTCAACAAACGATTTCAAAACAACTTCAACCAGAACTTGTAGTGGAGAAATTCTTCTTTCAAAAATGGATACGTTAAATGCAGTTCCACTTCTAAAGTTTGATCCAAACGCCACATTCAAAACAGATGATAGGGTTTTGTATGAATGTGCAAATGGTTATAGGTTTATGAATGGACCTTTGGAACACGTATGTGGAAATGACGGTGCCTGGAAGGGGGCATTACCTTATTGTAAAAGTACGTTATCGTCTATAAAACTACGAGCAAATATAAAGTAAAGTTTTTTTCACTACTAACATCTTCACCAAGATGTTTCTGATACGGCACTCTCATCATAAACCCTTGGCATATGGTACTGTGAAAAGAAAGGGACTGTTTTCATCACGTGATCTCGAATTTGAACAGCTACACACAGATTGCGTCATCAACAAAAATAACGGAATTAAATCAAGAAAGTTTTTAGAAGAATGTATTGGTTTTTCCTTTGTTATTTAACGTGCAAATCTACATTTTCAATGTAGATTCTTAATTATATTTTGCACGTATCTAAGATATTAGACGACACCATATCTGTTCATAGAATAGTATGTGGTCGTTGATGATTAATACTTGCGTTTTTCATTCCCGAGAGGAAAGAGCCAAAATATGTCCACGAATCCAGATATCGTCATTTACAAAAAAAAAAAAAAAAAAAAAAAAATACTGATTGGTCGATCAATGTCGATCCAATCGAATCACAACTTGAGAAGAAAAATCCCAGCCTTTGTAGCACCGTATGCGAAGGGTTTATGAAGTGAGTAGCGTATCAGAAACCCCTGACTAGCGAAGATGCACTAATAATTACTTCAAGGAACCTGGATTAAAAATATGAATTTTGTCACAAGTTATAGATTTTGATATTCACTATGCGTGAGTGGCGGTATAGCTGCATAGCTCTCTAGATGGAAAAAAAATCGAAGAAACTGGGAAACCCTGATTTTTTTGGCCGAATTTTCTCAACCAGAGAGCTAGTATACTAAATACATGTAGCTAGTAACATGAGGATGATTTTATTCCCTAAAGTGTGGCCCCAAATCTTAAAGTAGGAGCATGGCTTCAGAGGCATTAGATTTCTTGAATTGGGAGAATTAATTTTATGCAGTGTTATATTAACACAAACTTGTGAGGATTACCAAAGTTTGAACCATGGCAAAGGTTTACAATGTGTAAAGAAATACATACAATGTATTGTATACTAATTCCCTCACATCACATTGATAACCTTCTAATCTTTTAGGATGCAGATGTCCATGTAGCCGAATGAAGAACCAGGTTATCATAAAAACACAAGAAGAACTTCAAAATAAAATAAACGTCATGACAGAAAAGCTTAAAGTGAAGAAGTCAGATTTAACCAGTGTGAAGAGTAGGAAAACTTCGGCTCCCGATCCTCGCCCCTCCTCAAAAGCTGTGGGATCTCTTATTGGTATAGGAATCCTTGTATTCATTTTTGCCGTGATAATCATTTCAGATTTTCCTCTATTATACACACATATCAAATATGGACCTTACCATGGAAGATAAATCAATTTAAACCAAACGTGTGCGAGGACAGTTGACTGATGTACATTGTATTAATATTGAGTGTTGTTTGTTGATGCTTTGTTGATATTGTCTTTTAACAACGGATATTGGAGTCACACAATGGTTTCAATTATCATAGGCAAAAATTAGATTTTTCGAGTTCCAGATAAGCTTTAGCATCATGTGTAAATTAATAATTTAAAACTATATGTATTTGCAAACATTGGTTTGTAATATATCAGAAATATATATATATTTATTTTTCTTTCTTTTTTTCAAGAAAGATTGATTGCTGTGTATCCTTGTAGCTTACACTTTATACTTAAATGCATTTTTATTTCATATATCATTATACCCCCACTTAAAAAGCGGGAGGGTATATAGTAATCGGTATGTCCGTCCGTCCGTCCGTCTGTCTTTTACGCTTTGGGTTACCCATCTCTTATCTGCAACTCCTCTCATACCACTGAATGAAATTTGATGAAACTTTCACAGAATACTCATTACATATTGACATTATGACCTCCTATTTTACTTTTTGATCCGACACATATTTTGGGTTTCCCACGGCAAAACACTGCCATTATATTCATATGGGAAGCGGGGGTATCATTTAGTGAGGTCATTGCTCACGGTACCTCTAGTTCATTTCTACGCCTGGCTATTGAGCAACAAACTAAGTGTAAGAGTATACTAAACAGTGATTACTCTACTTAAATACCCGGTAGTTAAATTGTGTAAGGGGTTCTGGTGTTAGGATGGGGTTCCGTTTATCGATCGTAAAATGATATGCATGGATTGCTTGAAAAGCGGGTGGCTGTATAAAGTAATCGGGATCTCCGTCTGTACGTCCGTCCGTCCGTTACGCTTTGGGGCACCTATCTCTTAACCGCAATCCTCATACCACTGAATGAAATTTGATGAAACTTTCACAGAATCTTTTTTACATATTGCCATTGTGCATCTCCTATTTTACTTTTTGCTCCAACACATATTTTGGGTTTCCCACAGCAAACACCGCTATTATATTCATATGGGAGGCGGTGTATCATTTAGTGAGTTCATTGCTCACAGTACCTCTAGTTTTTTTTATTCTTTTCCTCTGTTCATGGACGTCTAGCAGGCTAATCAAATACAAATGTACATGTAATTCATGAAGATATGGCCACTAGTAAAGGCGGTACTGGTGCTAAGGCAATACCCTACTGATCATAGATATAAATTTTTCTCTATTTTAAAATTATCACTTAATAAATCTTAGTAAATTATGCAATGAATAGCTTGTTTTGAAAATTTTCCCTTCTGTATTGTAAATACCCCGGTATATTTTAAAGAACAAGAAATTATGCAAAAGGATTCGTAACTTGAAAGTTTTTATTGCCATTTTATGGATCATCAACAGTGTTTATTATATTCAGGTGACAGTTCTGGCCATGGGGCCTTATGTATATTCTAAGCATCTGTTTACCCATTTTCATTAATTTCTTTTTCCCCTCATTTTGTCAATTTCATTAGGCCTAAATTTCGTTATGTATTCATTTGTTGTTTTTATGCCCGGATCGAAACTCGGATCGAAAGATCGCAGGAGTACATAGTTTTTGTCCTGTCTGTCTGTTTGTCTGTCTGATGTCAACTTTCACCTAGCCCATTACTATTGCGCTGTCAAGGGTAAGTGTATACCACTTCAATCTACGCCCCACTCCAGAATTTTGTTACCCTCTGGAGCATAGTATTTCACAAATCACAATCTTGTTTTTTTTCTTCATTGATTTTCCAGAATGTACTGTTACTAATAACATAAATGATTATTTGTCCAAATTTGGTTAACTTATTTCCTTTCCGAAGTAAAATTGTCCTAACAGGCTATTACGGGTTTGTTTTGGCTTAATCTTTGGTCGTATATACAATATTTTAGAAATCAACGTAATCTCTTGTACATTTTCAACTTTTTGGAGACACTGAAAATGAAAAACCTTGGTGTATTTTGTTTTAATTTATTCGTTTTATGTAAGTTTGTTAACAACTATTTATGAAATTTATATCATTCTTAAAATTCATGAATTTTTAAACATAATATCATGATTATTTCAACTTTTTGGAGACACTGAAAATGAAAAACCTTGGTGTATTTTGTTTTAATTTATTCGTTTAATGCAAGTTTGTTAACAACTATTTATGAAATTTATATCATTCTTAAAATTCATGAATTTTTAAACATAATATCATGATTATGCCTATAGAATTTTTTTTACTCGTCACTTCCGTTCATTAAGCAGAAACGCTGGCTGCAGCCTGACATCCTTTTGAAAAACTGACCATAACGACTGTTAAAGTGCCTTAACCTTCATGAGAGTTGGTGGTTAATGAAAAAAATATTCAATTTACAATATGAGTTGTTGATTTTAGGGCTTTGTTTAGATTAGGAGACGATTCAACCAAAATTTCTCGCAACTGTAAATTCCTTTCCTAGTTTTAATTAAGTATCGAATATGTTTATTTTTTTAAGAAAGAACATTGAGTGAAATTATTAACGATCCTATTATGTATTTAAATGGGGGAAATGAAAGGTCAGTTATGTATAGTAATCGCAGAATGTCCAGAGATACGTGTGATATAGAATCATTTTCAATATTAAAATCAAATTAAGAACCCTCCATACATAGCACATTAAAGAGTTCTGTAGTATTTTTTGGCAGTTAGAGTGATTTGCCAAATTCTTTGATCTAAATTCCAAAAAAATGTAGAAATGTATTGTATATTTCTCAATTTTGATCAATTCAAGTGTTCTTAATATTTCAAAAGGCCAATGTGAATTATTTGAACATATTAATTTCATGTATTTCCTCCATGGAAGTAAAAAGCAGAGATTTCATTCACTGACACTGTATTGTTGTCGTTTTTGATCATTTTGAACATTACTATATACCGAAAATTAAGCTCAATATAAACACCTTTATACAATATATATTTCTCAATGTCGAAAAAAAAACAATTCGCACTGGTGTGGAGAGGGTCCTTAATAAAGATACGTTGATACTGTTGTTTTGCTTTTCAAATCACCAAATAGCAGAAATCAATGCCTCTAAAACAGGATTTTTTTTAATTGCTAAAAGTACTTAAAAATTTCAGCTGTAAGACAATGAAGTAGGTCCATACTCAGTTCAAAACAGTTTATGAAAGGCTGTTTTGACCGGTCGACAAGAGATGCTCACACCTCCATGCCACCTGATCCCAGCTATGCTGTTTTAGAGTTCCATGCTTGCGCTGCTTCTGATTCGTATGAATTTAATTTACATTTGAGCTTTATTACTGTTTCTTATTTCCTATATTTATACCCAGTATCAGTGTCGGAGCATTTGTGTGAACAATTATTTTGCAGATATACATTTGCTCACCTGAGGCCAAGTGAAAGAAGATTGGAGGATAAGGCGGACGAAGTGCCTATAGTGCGACAAAAATGAAGTGAAAAATTAAATCTCAAATATAACAAAATTTTCTTTGATATTTCATCTAACATTAAAGTACATTTAATGTAAAATCTCTTTCATTTTCAAAAATCTCACAAAGACTGAAATTATTTGCCTATGAAAATGCACAAACACACTAAAAAGAACAAAAATATCATCGTCTTATACTTTTGACAAAATTTTCCATTAAAAGTGGGTCTTCACTCCATTTTTTGAAAGATAATCCTAAAAGTTTGCCATAAAATATACATTTTTGGTTAACAAAAACATGGAGCAAAGACCCTCTTTACTTTAAAAGTACAATTTTATGACATAACATTCGCATTTTTCATAGAAATACTTCAAGTTCATTAAGTAAAGGGTCATATTACAAACATTATTTAAACACCCCAATTAAACAAGCCATGTAACCTAGTAGTTAGCACGTTAGTCTCAAAGCAGTACATGTATTCTATTCCGGATTTGTATTGCTTAAAGTTCAAATCCCAGGATTACAATCTTATATTTTTATTTTTTTTTTAAATTCCGAAACTTTTTTCTCTCAAAAAAGGTTTGTATTTTCATAAATTCATAAATTTTAAATACTCAATCTACAAATTGAATATCATTTCATAATATCTGAGGCTCTAAACATTCTGCACGCCTTGTTCCCCCATACCCTGTGTCATCGTCGTTGTTCTCGTTGCAAAGATTTCACATTTTCGTCTTCTTCTCAAGAACCACCGGGCCAAGTTCAATCAACTTTGCCACAAAGTATCCTTGGGTAAAGGAGATTCATGTTGGTTCAAATGAAAGGCCATCCTTTCCTGCAATGGGGGATAATTTTAATTTTGTTAAAAAAAGAAAATCATGGCGTCTTTTAAAAATCTTCTTCTCAAGAATAGCTTTGAAGCTTATGTGGAAATATCTTAATTTTTTCAAATCATGTGCCCCGGAGGAAGGGTGGGACAAAGTGGGTGATCAAGGTTTCACATAGGAATATATAGGGAAAATATATAAAAATCTTCCCAAGAATAGCAAAGCCATAATTAGTCATATTTATAGGGAAGCATCCTCAGGTAGTGTAGATTTAAGTTTGTTCAAATTATGACCCCTGGAGGTAGGATGGGCCCCAGTTGGCGATAAAGTTTTACACTGGAATACATAAGGATGATATTTAATAATATTTTGAAGAACAGCAAACCTATGATATTTATAATGAAGCTTCCTCGGGTAGTTTGTATTACAAATTGATTAAATTATAACCCCCAGGAGTATAAAAAAGGTCATAACATAATTTTGGACATTTAAAAATAAGTGATATCAGGTCCTCATTGTCAACTATTTTGCATCTTTGGTAGTATAAGTTTCACGCAGTAATATAGTTGTAGGATAATGAAAAACAAACAGAATCGTGTTTCATTTAATATGCCCCCGCAATCAAAGATTCGGGGGTATGTTGTTTTTACCCTGTCCGTTTGTCTGTGTGTCTTTTCTCTATCAATTTATCTGTTTGTTAGTTTTGTACAAATAAACTGTAACCTTGTCCATAAC